ACCCCACATGTGTACCAGCCGTAGAGATCTTAAGGGCACTTGTCCAAAGGGAAGGAGCATTTCTGTTCAGTTTCCTTGTGAGCCAAGAACTGCTCTAAAATATAAAGTCTATTAATTAATCAAATAAAATAAAACAAACAAATGCTTGTTCAGGGAGGCTCCCACTGGAGATTTTGATTGGTTAAGTTGAAGGTAAGTCCCAAGAATCTATATTTTAAATCTCTTTAGATAATTCCAGTGCACATCAAGTTTGGGAACCAATGGAGGCAGTGTATTTAAAAAGCAAAAAAACCCCAGCCAACCAACCAGCCCCAGTCTTTGAGTGCACGTGATTCACTTCCCTTCCTCCTGTGGACTTCTTCTAGACCCAAAGGGCAGCCTTACAAAGTCATTTTCTGGCAAAGACAACCACACATTCCTCCTTCTGAGACTCCTGCATTACCACTGTCTAGTGCTCAGAGTGTTTTCTCACTCACTTCCAAGAGAGACCTGTTTATTCATTTATTGTAGCCAGTAAAGAATCCAATTTTACTTGATGTTAGTTTATTCTACAGATAATGATTGAGCACCTCTGGCCAGGCATTGACAGAGCTAAGTGTCAGAAAAACACCAAAGAATAAAGGGAGTTTAATTCCTTCCCCTTAGAGACCTCAAAGACATGGGAGACATAAACATGCAGTGACAGTGGAAAAAGAAGGAGGGCTTTGGTAAGGGAATGCAGAGTGTCTAAAAGACTTAAGAATTACCCAGATGAGGGGAGGGGACACATCGTGACACAGCAAAGGTTGGGTGAGACACACACAAGGCATTCCAGACACTAGACTGTTAAGCAGAAAAGGGACCAACATGGGGTATAAAAGGCAGACAAGACAAGACATTTTAGTGTCTTGTAAACCACATTAAGGAGTTTGTGAGCAATCCAAAGGCAACGAAAGACAATAGAAGCTTGTCAGCCAAGGGATTACCATGATGTGAGCTGTCACTTTGGTTAAGAACCTTTTTAAGTATTATTAGGAAAAGCCAAATGGCAGGTGAGGCTGGCTGCACCCAGGTTAGTTGCCATGAGGCAGAGAAACCAGGGGGTAAGGTAGAACTGGCCCCATTCACTCTGCTTTGGATGAGTTTGCCTTGCAGCATTCATGGGAAATTGGTTGAGTTGTCAGTGAGTTATCAGGGTTCAAAACTCAGAAGAGATATCTGAGCTACAATTTTAGGATTTTCCCTTGTATTGTTTTCAGCTTTGAACCACAAGACAGCATCAAAGGCTATATTCCATTCAGTTCTAAGCAAACATCTTAGAGCCACAAAGTGAACTTGACTGATGGTCCATGTACACATGAGTAAATAAGATTTGGCTCCAGATAGCAATTACTGCTGGCATCTCTTTCTTTCATCTCAGGAGACACAATGTAATTGTAAACATCAATCTAGACACTCAAAAATAATTCACTATTTTATCATGGAAACAAACTCAAATTAGTTTTCTTTGTCTTTGTCACAGGTAGGAGTGTTGAGTGTTGTGTAGCTTGTCACCAATCCTTGTTTTCTACATTTGCAGGAAACAAATGTGATTCTATCTGTGCTGTGTGGAGTGAAAGTATCACCAACATTGAAAGTGTCATAAATGTTTAATTATGAACTAACATAGATACTTCTGCAGTCAGTGTCTTGATCTGTGCTCTAGAATTAGAGGTGTAACACCAGGAAGCTATAGAGTAGATTCTGACCTCAGTTAGGAATCTCACACTCTCTAGACCAGTTGAAAACCAAGCTTTTGCTGCTTGGCTCTCAGCTCTGGGAATGGAATAGTGAGGATTGGCTGTTTTATGATGTTATCTGAGTGGAGGCTTCCCTCATCATCCTCTCATTCCAGGTGATCATATCACTCACTGACTGTTTCTTTATTAAGTCTGTGAACTTAAATATAGTAAAAGGCACAGTGTGTATTTAAGACCTGAATGAGAGAATTAAATAGGCTTTTTCTAATTTGTTGTTCTAAGTTGTAATATGAATATTTCCCTGACTGATCTGCAACGATCTTCAGTTAATGTTTAAAAGAAACAGTCCTAGGTAAGGGAAAAAAAAGTTTACCAAAAACAGTGGTGAGTAAAAATCTTGCCCATAAATAATTGTTATTTGGTAGCACAACAGCAATTATTCTGGATTTTGCATATTTATCCTTCAACCATTGACAGTCTTCGCCATGTATCCTCTCCCTCCTTTCCCTTGCTTAACACACATTAAAATGTTCCAGAAGGATCTTGCTATTGTTTTTGAGTGATGTCTGTCACTCAACTCACTCCTTGAAGGATCTGTAACTCATTTATATGCCTAAAGTTTTTGCCAATGGTAACAATTATAAACCATATTTAGATTTTAGAGATTTGGAAAAGATACTGAGAAATTAAGTATGAATATTAATTGACATTTTCAGTTCTCATTCATCTATCCTGAAAAATATAAAGGTGCTGATACATAGCCATTTCTTTTTATTTGTAGCACAAGAAACTGGGCAGTTATGGTTTGAGGTTTTGTTGTTTGTTTGTGCCGTATAGAAACTATTGAACTGTGTTTTAATCTCATACTGGCTAATTACCTCAAACATTAATTATAATGATTGCAATTATTTATCTAATCTGTCTTCCAGTCATCCTCAGTGGAGCACAGAGGGGTGAGAGGAATCATATAAATAGCTTAAATCTACTGATAAGGAATTAGCTTTTCTATTAGTCTCTGTATTAAAATTGAGGAATTTAATATTTAAAACTATTTCTATCCCAGCTCCTACTTTCTGATGAGGGTAATAATGAATCATATTATAGGTAATATAATTACATTGTTTGTGTCATTTATGTAACTATTTATGATGTTACATTCTCTCTCTCTCTCTCTTTCTTCTTTTTCTTCTGGCTCACACACATGTGTATCTATATATGGTAACCATTATCATTAATCTTCATTCTGAATGACAAATTGGATAAAAATTCTCAGAGTACTACATAAGACTCCCTTTTCCTTCGTGCATGAATTACACATTAAGCTATAAAGTAAAAAGACCTGTTCTACACTTGACAGAATGGCTGAGCACACATGCAAAGCACAATTTTACCTCTGATATGTGCCTCCTTTGGTGTTTTATTATTGTACTCATATGATTTTATTTCCATTTCTAGTATGTGTCTGTGAGGATTGGGAAGATGGCGGCAATAGTATTAAATAAGTTGTTCTTCCTTTCTGGATTTCACAGTTCTCTTCTGTAACTCAGAAACTTAATTTGTGTGAAGATATGATTTGCCAGGAATGTAAACAGATTTAGAGTGATCATTTGTTGGAGGCAGGTGATCAAACCTCCATAATGATTATAAAAGCCTTTTAGAAGACAAGCAAATGTGCCTGGTTTGGCCATCTGGTCAGAATAAGCATTTTCAGGGCTCTCTGTCTTCACCTTTGCCCTCTCCTTAGACGTGAAAAATGCAAGGAATGTGTTGGCTTGTAGTGGAGCTCTGTCTTGCCTAAGTTAGTACGATAACATCTCCATCTATACACACACACTCACATGTCCCAGCACCATCCAAGTTGAAAAGATAGGAGGGAGGTAAACTATGCTCTAGGCAGATTTATCACCCCTGAAACAAAATATGTAAACAAAATTCCCAAGATTGGTTTCATATTTTTCAATAGTTTGGAGGAGCTAGATGCTTTTAATCATGTCCACCAGGTGAAGAAGCAGAGAAAAGAAGTGATTCCAGTTTTAATAAGAGCAACCAATTTGGGGTAGGAAAACAGAGAATCCATGTTCAATGTAAGCAATGCAAAATGATTGCTTTTGGCCTTTGCAATGGCTTTGAAAGTCATTGTTGGAGGGGTTTGCTTCATTTTGTGTGTTGGAGATTCATTGGGGTTCTCTGAAACATGACCTCATCTCCCTAATCATCTTGTGTGCTAAGAAATAGTGGTGACTTAGTTGCATATCTTTCTAGACAAAGTCCTTTTGAATCATAAAAATCAAAGACAAATAACTAGAATGTCTCATGTCAAATTTACTTTTGTTAATGATTGTTTATAAAATAAGCTCACAATGGGAAAATTATATACTCTATTACTTTACAATTTTCTGTGAGCTTATGTGTGTTTTGAAATAAGTTCACAATTTATCTCTCAGTTTTCATCTATACTATCTAGCTGCTGTACGTCAGACTTCCAGCAGTTTTATCAAAATGTAAATTATTAGTCACAGGTAGACTCAGATGGGAAATAATTATCAGATGAATTCAAATTCATCACCAATACTGGAGAAAACTATAAAGTCCCCAAACCATGTTCCCCAGTTTAATGACCAAAGTTACATCATTTTCATACATGAGGACATTAATTAAACCTCATTTGGTATAGAGGATCCCCAAACTTTATAGGTAACCATCAGGCAGGCTCTGGTCACCCTAAAGTCTTTGGAGCTGGTAATATACATATTCAGTTTAATTACACAAATAGGTTCTAACCCCAGTGGTTATAAAGACACAAATACACTGGATTAAACCCTTTTCTAATGGACTAGAAGATGACATAATGAAAATAGTAAGATCTCTGTCCCGGAGTGGACACTTAATAGGAGATGATAAAATAAGTACTCAGTCCAAACTTCTCAAAAAAAAATAAATTCAATTATGTGTTTGTTTCGTTTGGTTCAATTTTCCATCTGCTCTCCCAGGAGGTATGTTCAGAAGCCATACATAACCCCACCTATGGGAGATGAACTAATTCCTATGCCTCAAGATAAGAATTTTCCATCGTGCACTTTACCACATGTAGTTTTATTTTTAAGGAGTGGTATTTTACCCTGAATATTTGAAACTGCATAAATGTCTAGATTAAAGAGATGTTAGCTTACCAAAAAAGAAAAGCTATGATGATAAGAGGTCAAGTTGACTCTTCTTTGAAATCATCTCAATAACATTTAATGTGAAAAAACAAAATTGGAGCAATGTTTTTGTTCTGAACAGAACCCATCTTCTACTTTGGGGATGCCCAGTATTCTGTGGAGGAGAGTGCTGGCTATGTAGAGGTGCGGGTGTGGAGGACGGGCACTGACCTTTCCAGGCCATCCAGTGTCACCGTGAGATCCCGGAAAACAGATCCTCCCTCTGCAGATGGTGAGCAGTTTACTCAATCAACTCTTTTTAGTGGTCTATAACTTTCAAACACCATGACACAAAATACCTTCAAACTAAATACTTCGTTATATTCAGGCAATCTGGATGGATTTTTTTCCTGAAATTATTACTATGTCATTGGTAAGTCTAGACTTTATTTACCACTGTGGGAAAGGACATTATAGACCATGAATCAAAGGTCAGGTTACAATGTAAGACTCAAATACTGTAAATTCTAATGCCTGTGTTTGCATGAGTTGGTCCTCCAGTTCTTAACACATCTAACATGGTTAAATGCTCCGATGTATGCAGGAGAATAATCATACCAGTCACCCTCACAGAACTCTAGTGGCATTGACGTATCCTGCAGGTATGTGTCATCATTTGACTCCTTCCTCATTTCAACCAAATAGTCCCACAAATACTTCAGATCCAAAAGGATGTCATCACGAAAACTCCTAGCTAACACATACCTGCTTCTTATTCTGACATCCATACCTTGAAAACATTGATCATAAATGTTTGGGCAAGCACAAGATTTGAAATTTCCTTTCCTTTTTTTCCAACCAACCAACAATACATGGATTCATCTTTATGTGACAAACCCATGGGAAGTGCAAACACACGCATGCCTCACACATTTCACTCACTCTTCCTGCAAAGCATACAGGAATCAGACCATTGTAAAGGTCACCTTAGGTTTTAGTTTTTTAAATACAGTGCAACCAGCATAGTCCTTTGTGGATTATAGGTGTTTAGGAAACATTTATTTAACCAAATTTAAGAAAAAAATTTCAATTTTTTAAGAAAAAAAATTCAAATCAGAGTTGGGAGTAAGGAGAGTGAAATGAAAATAAAGTTGTAAGAAACAAAGGAAAGAAAACTACAAAAAAGAACTATAGAGTGTACACACTGTTTTTGTTTTTGTTTTTGTGCTGGTCTTGAGCCCAGAGCCTTGCGTGTGTAAAGCACATACTCTGCCACCGAACTACCACACCACCCACAGAATACACAGCTGTTTAAAATGAAGTAATGACAGATACATTCAGAAGTAAGTTAGGTATGAAATCAGAGTCAGATAAGCAAAAAGCAGGAAAACAGAGAAGGACTAATACTGAACAATTGTCCCCTACTTTCAGGGCTTCCTGGATGTGATGCCTTGAAATTAAAGGGTAGCTTTGTTTTTAAATCCTTTAGATATAAATGGATATATACTGTATGATCTGAAAATATTAAATCATACATCAAATACGTTTTGGAGTTGAAGCTTGCCCTCATTGCCTGGGGTGAATATGTTGGTGTGTGGGGGACAGAAGCTCATATCTGAAATGTGTAGCTATACCCAAAAGGTAATCACACACTTGAATAGTACGTTCTGTAGTGGCTCTGGAATTGCAGAAATAAGAAATAGAGATATTTAGGGCACTCTGTCTTGGGACACACCCAACCCTGGGGACTCTTTATACTTTTCTATCTCAAAAACTCTCCCTCTTTGCACTTAGAAAAAAGATATTTAACTAATGTGATCAAAGTTTTAAGTTTACATATTTTGTATATAACTTATAAGCATATTTGATTGACTTGCAGAATGTTTTAGACCCGATTTTATTAACTCCATTAGTGAATTCTAATAAAGATGGAGGACTATAATATAGAAAGTTAAAGTAAGTGACCCAATGTGCTACCATTAGACACAAATAAAGCTCAGAAACTGATTTTGAGCTACCCCTCAATGACCATGTGGTCATTCACATTTCATTAAATGTACTTTTCTATAATATTATGCTGGTTTCTTTCTTTTCTTTTCTTTTCTTTTGTGCTATTCTGGGCCTTGTGCTTGTTAGGCAGGCACTCTTTCACTTGAAAGAGTGTTGATTGTTTTCAAAGTAGTACCTCACAAACTATTTGCCAGGGACTGGCTCTGAACCATGACTATCCTAATCACTGCCTTCTGAATAGCTAGGATTACAGATTTGAGCTACAGGCGCCCAGCTTGATTTCTATTTCTTAATAACTATAAATGCATCTGTATAATTTATGTCTTGTAATTTTTTTAAAGTTAGGCCAGGCACCAATGGTTCATACCTATAATCCTAGCTGTTTAGGAGGCTGAGATCAGGAGATTTATAGTTTGAGGCCAGCCCAGGCAAATAATTGGTGAGACCCCCCATCTCCAAAAATAACCAAAGGAAAATGAAATAGAGGTGTGGCTCAAATTGTAGAGCACCTGCTTTGCAAACGCAAAGCCCTGAGGTTCAAACCCCACACCCACCAAAGAAAAAAAAAAGCTGATCCCATCTGAATAATCCTTTTGTTACTGTTACAGCTGGAACAGACTATGTTGGAATCAGTCGAAATTTAGATTTCGCACCTGGAGTCAACATGCAGACTGTTCGAGTTATCATCCTGGATGACCTTGGACAACCAGTGCTGGAGGGAATTGAGAGATTCGAACTTGTGCTCCGTATGCCTATGAATGCTGCCCTTGGCGAGCCCAGCAAAGCCACACTGTTCATAAATGACTCTGTCTCTGATTGTGAGTGCTTATCAATTTTACAGTAATAAGTAAATATAATAATAGTAAATAAATATAGAATATGCAAATATGTTATGAGTAAAATGATAAGTTAGGATTTGTACAAATGGCAGTAGAATGATAAACTATATACACCGATATTTATTTGCTAAGGCTGCCATTATAAAGCACCATGGACTGGATGGCTGAAACGAGAAATTTATTGTCTCACAACTATTGGCTAGATGTCAAAATGAGAGTGTCGACAGGGTTAGTTCCTTCTGAAGACTGGAAGGAGAGAATGTTCCAAGGCCTGTCTCCGTCCTGCAGATGGCTGTCCTGTCCCTATGTCTCTTCATATGGCAGTTAGGACTTCAATATACGAATATGACAGGGTACACCACTCAATCTATACAAACATCCTATTGATCATATCTTCCTTTCTCCTCTTCATCATTTTGATAGAATTAGACAATGTTCAAAGAAAACCTTTAGTCTTCTCAAATTTTGAAGAAAAAAAATGGTATTGTTATTAGTGTCCTTTGTCTCAATAATTTCCTCACCACACATGGTTGGAAACACATGGAGCTGCACAGACACTTGAGTGTCAGTGGTCTTTTTCCAATGTCTCAGCACAAGACATTTTATGTTATTTCCTTCATCCTACCACTCCTCAAATTTCCCTAATAAGATTCTAGTTGCTGAACATGCGACAGGCTCTCTGCCACATCATCACAAGAGAATTCTAGATACTCTTCCACCATGTTGATTTTGACAGTGCTTGGAGGAATCTCATCTCTTGCTGATGAGACTTATATTGAATAGACTCAGTTTAAGTTATTATATGTACACACACTCATTTTAGTTCTCTCAACCATGGGCTACATAAAATATGCTTGTAATTATGCCCACAATATTTGGTGTTCTCCATGTCAAGAAATTCTAAAATGCTCATGATTAAGCAACATAAGTAGATAGAAATATCTTAAGGTCTTCTGCTTTATCTACTTTTTAGCACTTTATTACATAAGTTTACTCCACAAACTAGATAGAGCAAAAGCTCAATGATAAGAAAATCAAACTTCTTGAAGTTAAGTCACTTGCTTCAGGTCAAAACATTGGCAAGCAGACTGAGATCCAGTTCTCCTCACTTCTTTTCTTTTATTCTTTCCAGTAAGCCATATCTTCTAATAAGCCATTTCCCTTAAGAAAATTCATGTTTATTTTTTATTTTTTTGCAGTGCCTAAGATGCAATTCAAAGAACGAGTGTACGCTGGTCATGAAAATGATGGCCAGATAGTTGCAATGATCCACAGGAGTGGGGATATCCAGCACAGATCATCAGTGAGATGCTACACACGGCAGGGGTCCGCACAGGTGATGATGGACTTTGAAGAACGCCCAAACACTGAGGTCTCCATCATCACATTCCTCCCTGGTAAGAGTGAGCTTGAAATGTTTATGTGTAGTTTAAGAAAGCCAAGTGTTTGTTGAGAGATATGTATAAAGTTAATTCAAGTGCCTTGATTTCAACAAGTTTGTGACGTGAGCTTATGTATACTAAATGACAGGGTGAAGTCCATTGTAACAGGTTTCTGTATTAACTTCTTGACTCCTAATGTCATGCAACATTGTTTATTCAAAACTTAGTGGGCAAGAATATATCGCATGTACAGATTTCACCATGCCAGGAATTAAACTTAATACTGAAATATAATTAAGTGAAATTGAGCTTGGATTTTTTTAATATGAAGCCAGTGCCTGAAAGAATGTGATCACATTGATCAAATGATTTTGCTTAGAGGAATATATTCTAAGAAAAGGAATCATAAACATGCAGAAAGACTTCCTAATGTGGATGTTTATCACAGTTGTTTAGAGCAATGGAACATTGACAATAAATAGTTAGCAACTGAGAATTATTATTATTATCTATTTAAACATCCATAAGATGGCATATTTTATAATCATTAAAATGTATTTGAAAACTACTAATGAAAAAGAATATAATATTGGTCCCACTAATTAGTGGCAAGGACCTAATTGTTCTTATCTCAATTTGTTCAATAAATTAAAATTAGTAATACTAAAAATTAGTGTCATGATCAAATTAACAATGACCAAACAATACAAATTGGCTAACTTTGCTTCCTGATCATAATGGTAGAAATCTATGAACAAAATTGGCATTTTTCTCTTCTGTCTCTGTTTTCTAAGAACAGTGATAGAGCTTAATTAAAGGCAGAAATTCCTGCACAAATAAAGGCCTGTCACTGCATATATTTAAACACTTATTCACTTACTCAGCAAATATTTATTAAGGCTTATTATATGCCACATACTCTCTTTTGCACTGGTCTAGCATGAAAAAAAAAAAAACAAAAAACAAAATCTCTTGCTCTTGTGGTGCTTACATCCCAGTTGTCAAGGTATCCTTGGCCTATGAGAAAGGATTGGCATGCCGTCATTATTGTTTTTTCCCAGGTGAGACAGAAAAGCCATGTGTACTGGAACTGATGGATGATACACTCTATGAGGAGGTAGAGGAGCTGCGTCTGGTACTTGGCACTCCCCAAAGCAGTTCTCCATTTGGGGCTGCAGTTGGTGAACAGAATGAAACTCTGATAAGAATCCAAGATGATGCTGACAGTAAGAATTCATTGCTATGAATTGGGAGCTAAAATCCATGCACATTAAGGTTTTAGGTGTCTCAGAAAAGAACTCTCTTTCTAGCCCAGATATGAAATTGATTGAGAAATAAGAAAAATCCAAGACAAATGAGGAACAAAATAAACCTAATGCTTGAGATGTATCTCAGTGGTAGCACTTGCCTAGCATGCATGAGATCCTAGGTTCAATCTTAAACACAACAAAAAATAAAAATAAATGAAATAAATTGAATAAAGCACTGATAAAATTGAGTTTGGAGAATATGGTTTATATTTAAATACTGAAGCCTAAACCTTCATATCTGCCCTGCCCCCTACACAAACCTAGAGGTACAAGTAATCTCCTGCCAATATTTTCCTCCTCCCTTCCCTTTCCGCATCAATGGCCTGCTCCCCTGTAATTTATGCTACAAAGGGACAGCTCAGAGCACATGTACTCTGGGTGCTGGTTAATCCTCAAGAAGGAGCAAGGCTATACTTGTCAGTTTCCGCTTTCACACTCACCACTAATACAGGGTGAGGGGACAGAGAGAAGCAGGAGTGCAATAGTAATTAAGCTCCTCCCAGGTGGAAGGATACAGAAATAGGGAAAAGTTTTCCCTGACTAACAATTTAATCTATGTTTTCCACAATTTTAGAGTCTATTATCAAATTTGGAGAAACAAAATTTAGTGTCACTGAACCTAAAGAACCAAGCGAATCAGTGATCGTCAAAATTCCAGTGATTCGCCAAGGAGACACTTCCAAGGTTTCCATCGTGAGAGTCCATACCAAGGATGGCTCAGCCACTTCTGGGGAAGACTATCATCCTGTATCAGAAGGTAGGGGCTTCCAAGGCTTGCCTCCAGTAGGATCATGCCAACACTGTGTTAGTGCTGTGCCCTTTGGGGAAAAGAGGAACATCCAATTGAAATAACTCATCTCCTTCAGACTCATCAATTCATCTCCTTTAGAAAATTAAAGATAACAAAATTTATCTTTAATTGACTTACAGGGTACATGTGTTAGGACTTGGGGAATTTCAAGTGGATGTGCTAGATAACTTTCAGCTTTGAGTTAACTCTCTGCTGGTTTTTACCTTCAGACGGTGAGCAGACCTAAATAATAATTTTCCTGTAAGTTTCCATTACATCGAAAATGTGCATGATAGCCATGATAATAATCAATTTTAGTTTAGACAACACCTGAAATCTAAAACTAAAGCCAGAAAATGGTGCAATAACAGAGGACAGTGAAAGGGTAGTGAAATACCAGCCCCAGAGGCCATGAGTTCTCTGGGGCATAGGTGCCCCCTACGCACAACTTTTCCTTCCTCTGCAAATGTTGGGATCACTTCATCATCTACTTTTTGGAATAATTAAATTAATTCTCTCTCTCTCGCTCTTTCTCTCTCTCTGCCTCCCCTTCTTCCTCTCTCTCTCCTCTCTCTCTTCTCTCTCCTTCCTTCTCCCTCTTCCTCCCTCTGTCTCTCTTTGAATTATTTGCTGACAATAGCCATAAATTTACATCCAAAATTAAATTTTTGAATTATTTGGAGTTCCACTTACCTACTATAGTTCTACTTTTTACTGCTCACTACCAGCAGTCATTAATTCTTGCCCATCAAAGCACTTCAAGCATTCATCTTGATTTTCTTACTCACCAAGAAAATATAGAAAGTGACTGATAGAAACTATTGAATCACTAACAAAATGAATGAGGTAATAGAAAAATAGCATCTTCTGTAAAGGAGCTGGTATTGCCTTTGTATATATTGTAAAACCTTGATAAACCAGTATAGTACTTCAAATTCATCCACCTCTATCTCCCTATATACTTGAAATAAATTATATGTGAAAAGAAAATTGATAAGCTACTGAATTCCAAAATCTAGTCAGTCTTTTCTATAATAAGCACATTATATATGAAAGAAAAGTCTTCTAAATATTGCTGGTATAACTCTTTAATGGAAATTGTTTTACTTAGAAATAAAATGATTTTTTTGGCCAAACAGGAACATAATTCTTTAACTATGTAGTGAACTGATGAATTATATCAGATAAAAGTTAAATAATACTAAATTAACCTGTATGTCTTTTATTCCATAAATGTCAGCTTGCTGTTTAAAATGTTTATAATACAAACTTAAGGGGTATTTTTACAAAACATGTCCTAATTTCTCCTTTTATGGGTTAAATTGAAGACAGACCTAATCAAGTAAAACAGAAAAAAAATAAATAAAAGTTGAAAATTTTTCACATGCTAAAAATGACAGATTAAGACAAATGTGATTAAGAAATTTAACTATCATCTAGCAAGTGTATTATCAGAAATAAATATTTAAAATAAATTATTTTTTAAACTCCTTAGAAATTTGAATTGCATATCAGGGAATTATAAAATCTTGAATGCTTACAAAGTTAAGACAAGAAAGGAAAGTGAATGAGATCTGGGAAATGTGAGAGAAAAATGGAGGGACTATAATGCTATTGAACCATAAAGTCCATTCTTTGTTGAGTGGAGGCTGTGTTAGCACAACCACCTGCCCATTACCATGTAGGAAGGTGCCAAAGAGGTCAAAAGTCTGTATTCTCTCTCTTGGGAAAAAATCCTGTTTTCTCCCAAGGATAATGGGAAAAAAATGCTGCATCTAGAAACAGAACTACTTTTAAAGATATCTAGATTAACTAGATTTTCAAGAAAATATTTTCTTTGTGATTGATCATAAAAATTGAAGTATAAAAATGCACTAGAAATATTATTTTCTGCCATAAAGAATTCATAGTTAAGATGCAACATTTACTGTTTCCTCCGATTGGAATGATTATACTTTATTTTCTTTATATTTTCTCTTCTGAACCAGATTCCTGAAAGGTATAGTAAAACCAAGAAAATAGTTTATACATGTTTAACAGTATGGTCAGCTGCTTAATTATGAGCTCAATAAAATCCAATGATTTTTTTACTGTTTATTTTTGAAATGAGCCAGGTGCAGGTGATCACACCTGTAACCCTAGCTACTCAGGAGGCAGAGATCAGGAGGATGGTGGGTGGAAGCCAGCCTGGGAAAATAGTTCTTGATACCCTATCTTGAAAATACCCAACACAAAAAAGGGCTGGTGGAGTGGTCCAAGTGGTAAGAGCACCTGCCTATCAAGCTTGAGGCCCTGAGTTCAAAACCTGAGTGCAAAAAAAAAATTAAAATGAATAGTTCAGAATTCTGATAATTAGATTTAATTTTCATGACAATGAAGCAATTCTTTTTAGTGAGAAGGGACAGTGGGTTGAGGGGAAGCAGTAACATTCATTCATAATGTTCCCAAGAACAGTCCCATTATGACCCAATAGAAGAACTACTGATTGCCTCATAACTCAGCTTTTTTTCTATCTGTAAGCCAACAAATTAATTTGGTAACTTATGATTACAATTTTGCTTTGGATAGGATAGGGTATGGTAAAATAGAATAGAATAGAAAACATTACACTCCAATTATACAAAATAAGAAAAAGTGATGTTTGTGAACTTTTGATTCTCTTTTGCTCATACATACACCTACAAAAAATATACTAGGCTGCAAAGTAGAATGTACTTTTATTTGTAGAACACAGTGAAAAAAAGACTTGAGAAAAACTCATGCTCATATGCAAAAGATTTAAGTCTGTGTTTTTGCATTCATAGAAATTGAGTTTAAGGAAGGAGAAACCCAACACACTGTTGAAATTGAAGTAATATTTGATGGGGTAAGAGAGATGAGAGAGGCCTTCACTGTTCACTTAAAACCTGATGAAAACATGATAGCGGAGACACAGGTAAGTAATACAATGTGTTATAAATTTATGGCCAGCATTCATCAGAGGAAATGCATATGAGAAATCACGTCATCTGTCATAAAGTGATAACACTTTGGATGAAATAAATCTCATTCTAATTACATCATAACCAGGAAATTCCTCTTTTTCTTGGACAAATCCTGTTTCTAAGAACCCAAGGCCTTTAGTTAGTGAGCCCCACGTCAGCCATTACCTTTCCTATGACATTCAATAGGAACTGAACTTGAAATTGACCTCCAGAGAGAACGAATCATTTCAGAACAAAGACAAGACATTAATTCAGTGCCACAACTGATTAAAATAGACATTTCGCCCACAAAACAGTTTGCTAGCCCTCAAAATTCCCACTTGTTCCTCTGAGTTTGATTAGAATTTGATGTCTCGAGCCTCATGTCTGAAATGTTTCAGTCATAAAACTTGTTTTCTATGCTTATTTAATTTATATTGTATCAACAACCAGATTTTATTCAAGGTAAGCATAATTTCCACAGAATTTTGACCTTTACATTGAAAATAATTTTAAAATTACATGTCATTTTAGAAGCAGGTCAATTTTAATATTTAGGCTTAATTTACTATATTGCTTTTATCATTTGTTTTACTACTAATATGAGGTCAAATGGGGGAGATATTTTTGTCATTTTATCATTTTTATTGCATGATGGCATTTCTGCTAAATTTCCTTATTTTCTAGAGTCATATTTATAATTCAATAAGTATGGGCAAAACTTCTTTATCAAATATATTTTTGTGTTTTGATCACATAAAAGTAAATCTTTTATTATTTTTATTGGTTATTATATGAAAATTTTTTGGGTGAAAAGAAGAGAAATTGAATCAAATCAATTCCAGTGACAAAAGCTCCTCTTAAGAGTATATAGACAATTCCTGATTTCCAAAGGTTCAATTTACAGTTTTTCAACTTTATGATGTTGTAAAGTGATACCCATTCAGTAAAAACCATACTTTGGATTTTGGCTTTAATCTCTTCTGAGTAATCATGAGGACCAACAGTTGAGACTCTACAGTGTCCTGTGTTGTTAACCTGTGATGTTCAGAAGATTAGGTGGGTTGAATGAATTCTTGATTTACAGTATTTTCGGATTGGGATGGGCCCATGGTATGTAACCCTATTGTAAGCTGCAGAGCATATTATATGTGAAGATAGGTTTGGAAGCTGTAATATCAGTTATTAAATATTGGGAGGTTATTCAGGAGCCAACACAAACAGAATCAGGTGTTTTGTCACCTTGCTAGCAGCAGATGTCCAAAGATTCTGTTTCTGCCTAGTTCTCAGCTTCTTCCTCTGCCTGTATTTCAGGCATTGCCTTCTGGCCTTTGCCCTTTAAAGCTTTCCTTCCCACTGTCATCTGCTTCATCATGACCCACACTATCTCATGACCTTTAGGATGTCTCTTCCCTTGGAGTGTCTGTCAGCTTTCTCACTATCAACTAATAGACTTTTTCATACAATTTCTACTTCACAAACCCAAGTCAGCTATATCAACTTCTCAAAACTGGAGAAAATAACTTAAAACCCAAATACCTTACAAGCTACCGTCCAGACTTTGAATTAGCTGTCCCAGGCTCAGGTACCCACCCTTGGAATCATAAGATATGAACAAAGCATCAGGGTAACATGCAACAAACCACATAAGGCCTATCATTCTGCAGGGGATTTGGGTGTGACAATTTTTATCTCAAAGATTCCATGGGTTTCCTAGGCATTGTAAATGTTTTTCTATATAACAGAGGCAATAAAAGTCTAATATTTCATGAATCAGTGATAATTATCTTTTCCTTCTAGGTGACCAAAGCTATTGTATACATAGAAGAAATGAACAACATGGCGGATGTCACTTTTCCTTCTGTCCCTCAAATTGTGTCTTTGCTGATGTATGATGACACTTCCAAAGCTAAGGAGCACACTGGACCGGTATCTGGCTATCCTGTCATCTGCATCACAGTAAGTAGGAAATTGATGGAAACAGAGGGAAATTATCAGATAACTATTTACAGTGATTATAAACTTTGATCAGTATTGTCATGAAGAAACAAAAATGGGAAAATATTGCAGTATTTAAGCTTTGAAGTGAAGGAAAAAACATGAATTAAATGAAACTCCATTTTTTCCTTCATCCAGCAAAGATTTATTAATTTATGTGTACAGAATATACAATCTGAGAGTTTCTCACTGATAGAAAAACAAATGAGTATAAACTCTTCATAGAAGGAATTTAAAAATAAGGAAGAGAAAAACAGGAATCAGTAGCTCTAGTATAAGGCAAGATGTGATCATTGTTGTAGTAATAATACAAATTAGGAACTAGAACCATGGCTCTATGGGAAAGCTTAGTACAGTCAGTAGAATTTCAATAATTTACAGTAAGATTCAGGTAAGAAAAGATTATTCCAAAATGAATTTATTGCAACAGCAGCTAAAGCTGGAGAGAGAAAAGTGGCATACTTTTTCTACTGGCTTTCTCTGAACTAAATTATTAGCTCCTTGTAAACAAACACAATGACCTACTTACTTTTATATCACAACAGTCCTAATATAACAACCCACATGTAACAGGTATGCAGTAAATGTTTATTGAATTAAAAAGGCATAAATAATAACTCAGTAACAGATTATAGAGATCCCTAAGTATCACACTAAGGAACTTAAGTTTCATTTGCTGGATAGCAGGGAGTTCTTCACAAAACTACACAATAAAAGGAGTGATATCAGAGTGTTAGCAGGACAGACCTGAATTAGACAGGGAAATTTTGTAATAATTGAAGAAGATAGCAATTTAAAAAGCCTTGCAAAGGAAGAATATCAAATTCACTGATTGACTGGATGTGGAAGGCAAGAAAGGAGCCAGCTTTCTATGACTGACAAGAATTCCCATTGGTGCTGAGCGTGTGACCAGTCCCAAAAGAGAGGTGACCATCAACATTGTTTTAGGGAGGAAGGAAAGAGGAAGAGGAAAAGAGAAAGGATAAAGATAATTTAGCAACTCTGATGAGATGGTGATGTGGTTAACAATTTTGCATGTATCAAGTTAGAAGTGAAAACATTTAATAAGCTGTTGGAAAAGCAAGCTTGCACTTCATAAAGCTATCAGGGATGGGAATAGAAACTAGAAGTTGCATGAAAAACACATAGAAATGATAAAAGACAGCAGTGAAAACATGAGAATTGAGAGAACTGGAGAGGAATCATGTCCGCATTGTTCTGTACGGCATTCCTAACATGGCTATTTGTTTTTCATAGGCTTGCAACCCCAAATATTCAGACTATGACAAAACAGGTTCTATTTGTGCAAGTGAGAACATCAATGACACTTTGACTCGCTACCGATGGCTGATAAGTGCTCCAGCTGGTCCTGATGGTGTGACAAGCCCCATGAAAGAGGTGGACTTCGACACCTTTTTCACATCCTCCAAGATAATCACGTTAGACTCCATATACTTTCAGCCTGGCTCCCGGGTGCAGTGTGCGGCTCGTGCTGTGAACACCGATGGAAATGAAGGGCTGGAGCTGATGAGCCCTATTGTAACCATCAGTAGAGAAGAAGGTAAAGCATTGTCAGTTTTGCAGGAATCTTGCTGGAATACTATGGAATATTTCAAATGTCTATTTCCAGTTATTAATTCTTCCAATGTCAATGTGTTCCACAGTGCTCTGTAGTTAACTGTGAAATCCATTTTTACAACAGTATTCATTAGGAAACAGGTCCATAGTTTGTGAGCACCTATGATATGTCAAACAGCACTTTATGCTGGCAGAAAGAAAATCAGCAAGAAACCATCCTTACGGAGTCTATAGGAAAGGTGAAGACCCAAACAAATAAGGCCTGAAATGAGAAGTTAGGGTTAGTTCTGCCCTCAGTGGATCAGGAAAGCTCAACACAGAGAGGCTGAATCTTGAAAACATGGATGGGAGTGACAAGCAGAGAAAGCAGAGAGGAAGAGGAGGAACCATCAGGAGACAGAGCAGGATCAGATGTAAGCGTCAGATCTGGCAGGAGCTGCCTGTGCCAGGCAAGGAGCTCAGCTGGCTGCTGTACCAGTAGGAGTTTGCGGGGGACAGCAGGGAAGGCCAGTTCAGGTAGAAAATATATGAACTCACCCTTATCTTATCTTGTTATTACAGGGAGGAGTGGAGAATAGGATATGGCTATACACAACATTGGAAAGACAGGAATTCCACATTATAAACTGATTCTTCAAACTGCATAAGAATCTTTAGATTATTGCCTCAAAGATTGTTTCAAAGAAAAAAAGGAATTTTGAGATTATACTTATTTTTATTTCTTTATTTTCAGTGGTAGGAATTGATCCTAAGACCTTGTGCATGCCTGGCAAGTACTGTACCCCTAACCCTTAGGTGTCTTTTAAAGATTATGTGTATATGTTTCCATTTCTAAAATTTCATTAGCATACAGCACTCAGAAAGAGACTGAGGGTGTAACTCAGTGGTAGAGGGTTTGCTTTACGCACAAGTTCCTGCATTCAATCCAGCAAAAATAAATAAATAAATAAAATGCTATATGTACATCCTCCTACCATTATGTATTTGGAATCAAATACTTATTGATGTTTAATATATTTGTTGACTTTATGTCATACATAATAAACATTATACATAAATAAAATACTCAAAATAAATATATGGTTTTACATTTTTCTTAAAACCAAGCTGTTCGGTTGGTACCAAAAAATTAACAATGCTTTAAAATTAGTGTCCTTATTAATAAAGATAGCCCAGATGTTGGAGACTACTGCTGATTTTATTGTTATTTTAATAAATAGACCTATCTATTTTCTCCATTGTATAGAAACAGAAAAAAAAATGTACTTCCTAGTTCTCTTGAAATTATAATTCAGTGTCTTGGTCCCTTCCATGTTCAAATGAAGGCATCATAATTCTCTTAAAGGAAGCATTGGAGGATGACATTCATTTCAGAATTCTTGAAGGTCACTTTGAAATTTTAGAACAAATGAGAGAGAAAGAAAAAATTAACTAGAATTTATAAAATACATTGTAAGAATATAGTATACAATGTGTTCTGTGATTGAAAAGATATTTTAGTTTTTGTCTTTAAAATGAGCTCCTTTTAGAGAATTATGGCTCAGTGGTAGAGCATTTGCAAAGTGTCATGAGGCCCTGGGATCAATACCCAGCACCACAATAAACAAATAAATAAATAAAAGCACATTTCAATTTTATCTACTAATAAATAACTAATGTATATTAACTAATCATAAGTATATTATTCTAGGGTAAATATCAAATTCACTTAATTTAACTATACTTTGTTCCTATTGGCTCTCAGTCACTTTTACTGTATTTGTTCACACAACATATTAAATAATTTGGTGAATTTGTTCATGATTTAAAGCAACCAGCACATATTAAGTCACATTAAACAATAACTGTTTCTTCTCAAACCTTTTCAAATCTCTAAAATGTGAAGAGGCCATGAACCTGTGCTGTGGTGACTCCTCACGCTGGTTCTCTGCTTCTTCATCATGTACGTTCTTAACCAGGTTTTGGTCCACCCAGAATTTTAAAGTGTGTAGAAAAATAATAGCACTCATATAAAAATACTCCCTGGGTATTTCTGTTGTCTTCATTTAGCATAAATCTGTTTGTTTTCCTTAAGGCCTTTGTCAGCCGCGTGTGCCTGGAGTTGTGGGGGCCGAGCCCTTCTCAGCTAAGTTGCGCTACACTGGTCCTGAGGACCCGGACTTCCCCAACCTTATCAAGCTCACCATCACAATGCCACACATAGACGGTAGGTGTCTTGGGTGAGCATGTCCATGGAACAGTTTTGGGCTTCTCATCACCTGATTTATTTTGCTCAATTTTCTAAATTTCCAAGCTTACACCAGTATTGAATTTGTGACTTGTACTTCAAGTCCTGCTGTTCCGTTCAATTATTTCTGCCTTCTTTCTACCTAGCCTTGAAAAGTCTAACAATTTAAGCATTATTTAAAATTAAATAAGTTTAACCCATGTCCAAACACAGTAAGACAGAACCATGGTTAATATGCTTCGCTGTAGGCATGCTCCCTGTGATCTCCACTAGAGAGCTAACCAACTTTGAGCTGACCCTCAGCCCTGACGGCACAAGAGTTGGCAACCACAAGTGCTCCAACCTCCTGGATTACACTGAAGTGAAGACTCACCATGGTTTCTTGACTGATGCAACAAAAAACCCAGATGTCATTGGAGAGACATATCCTTATCAGTACAGTGCCGCCATCAGAGGCTCCAGTACCTTACGCTTCTACCGAAACCTGAACCTGGAGGCCTGCTTGTGGGAGTTTGTAAGCTACTATGAAATGTCGGAGCTCCTGGCTGACTGTGGAGGCACTGTTGGGACAGATGGCCAGGTACACATTTTTAGCATCTGAGCTTTGATCACTGGATAAATCAACTGGTCTGTTCTATCAATATTTTTTTTTACTAAATCTTAACTCTGTTCTTAGTAATATAGGTCATCAGTAACAAGAAGGACCAGACAAATGGATGGATGGTGTGAAAATCCATGTCTATTGATGAAATGATATGTCAAAATATATGTATTTTTAAAAAGTGGATCAATTACATTATCTTTATATCAAAAGGACACTGCATCATCATTGCCTTAAACTCCAAATCTACTGACTTTTAAGCTGCAAATACTGATTTCTCTTCAAAGTAAACAATTATCATTTCTCATGTATAGGCATAAGAGCCTGAGATAGTGTATCATAAGTCACTTAAAATGACAATTAACAGACCTGAGAATCAGGTCTAGTTTTTCTCTCCTTACTACTTTTCCTCTTCCCTTCCTTCCTTTTCCTTTATCTCGCTTCCTTTTTCTTTCTAGTCTTTTCTCTTTCCTCCCTGTGTTTCCTGTTTCAATACTTAACATAGTAAAAAGTATTTTCATTAAGAGTCTCCACTACAAATAATTCCTCCCCATACTACACATTTGCACATAAAATGCACACACACACACAAAAGCCTCCCCATCATTGTTAAAAAAGATGCTAAAATGATAAGAAAGCAAGGTCTACCGTTTGGGTTATAATAGAGAATCTAAAATTTGTATATTGGTTATAGTTGAAAATTACAATGAGTATTTTGAAATAAAAATTCTTACCTGGAATAACAGTTACAAATGTAGATTTCCTCATTAAAGTGGTGAGTGGCAGGTGGAATATATCATGTCTTTCAAGATTTAGCCAAGGTGAGGCTAAATTCCTAATGGAATCAGCAATTCCTGAGTTCCAAATTCCTGTCTTCCTAAGGTGTTAAAATATAAAATAAGTAGTAGCAAGAGAAAAGCAAATGATAACAAACAGCATCATATCATTGTCTGGAATCTACTAGACTCAAAGGTCTGAGGTCATATCTTAACAATCTCTTTTAAAAACTGTAATTTTCAGAAATTCATGGGAAATAGTAATAATCCCAAATACCAATTTAAGGCTGGAGGTGTGGCTTAATTGGTATAGTGTCTACCCAGTAAGCAGGAAGCCCAAAGTTCAAATCCCAGTAGTGCCAAAATAAAACATAAAGACAGTGTGAAATGGTGGAAAGAGGTTCAATACAGGAATTAAGCAAAGGCAGGCACAAATTTGGTTCTGATATATTCTAGCCATGTGTCCTTGGGCAAACTATGTAAGCCTCATCCATGTTAGCCTTTTAACTCCGTCTCCACCGATTTTCACCACTTGAAAAAAGACATGAAAGAAAAAATCCTATCTCCAGAATAAAGGTAAAGGTCCATTTTATCAAATCTACCTTAGCCTTCTGTATAGATCAACTGTCTCTAGTTCCTTTAGCATTTCTTCACAGAGCCTGTTTGCAATCCAATGTTAAACCACCATTTCCTTTCTGATTGCTCTATTCTCAGGGATCTGCCCAAGCCACAGGATCTACTGGCATAAACAATATAGGATTCAGTAATTGGATTACATCATAGTTCAGTTATTGCTTGTGAAATCACTTTTTTCCTTCTGCAAAGCTTCTCTGTGAGCCTCATCTATTTTGTGGTCTGTTTTAGCTCACAGGGATGTTTTCTGTTTTTTTCACAGAATGGTATCTTTTATATGTGACCCAAACCCCTTTCCTTCTTTTATATGTGACTCAGACCGTCTCATCTATTGAAATACTGTGTGTACCCTGCTTAAGCTTTATCTTATTCTATCTGTCCAGTTCTCCAACGTTTCAAGGTCATTTTGAATGCAAAGCCTTCCCCTTAAGGTGTGAACTCCTCAGACTAAATCTGATTCTAAAGTGCCCACCTAACTCACTCTACTTTGCTAAATCCCAGTTCCTCTATTGAATTCTTGAGTTCAGAACTTTTTTTTCTTCCCATGTCCTCTGTTAACTAGAAAAGTCTTTGCTCTCCTTCTGTGGTTGAACTGCAGAAAGTTCCACTCCATTAAGTGAAAACTGGCAACTGCAGGTTTCAGCTAAGCTCCACCTGCCTTAAAGACTTGCGTTACAAAACACAAGGAATAAGATCAAGCATTTCATAACGATTATCACGTCACAAAATTCTTAACTAGTTTGTGCAACCTTCTTAAGTGGATGGCCAATATGTTGTATGAGTCCCTTCTGGAAAGGATTTTTTTTTTCCTTTGGCATTATTGAAAATAAATTTAAAAGTATAACCATGATTATCAACATCAGAGAAGATCAAATTCTGTGCAATTCACTGAGATTCCAGGACCAAGTTTTAACTTTCTGAAGTCCTCAGTGTAATCTAAGTAACAAACTAGCAAATTAAACATGGGGCTTACTCTCTTAGAACAAAGCTTAGGGATGAGCACCCATTTTTCCCCCTTTCTTCCTTGGAATTAAATTTCTGTTTCTCTCCTAACTATTGATATTCTCCTATGCATTCTCTCAAACACACTAACATACATATTACTTAAATATAGGTGAGGAAGAAGAAGATATAAATTAAAACAAGAAAAATAACACTCTAAGATATTTCCTTACTTTTCCTTCATTAGTTTTGAGGTTCTGGAGAAGAAGAGAAAATATGTAATAGAACTAACAATAAATGATAACAGTAATAGCTAACATATTTAATATTTACTATGTGCCTGCTATCCTTCTAAAGTACTTGTGTTTTTCCACTCACAGCGACCCTATGAGATAAGTACAGTTTTCCATTATGAATAAGGAAATTGAAGCAAAGAGAATTCAAATAACCCACCTAAGTTCAGGGAGTTTGTAAGCCTGTGCTTGTAACCACATCACAATGCTTATCTGGACATTGAATTGGGTGAATGTGAAGAATGAATATGGTCACAGATGAAATTGCAAGAAAGTCAAATGAACTTTTCCCTTTGTTCTAGTACAAGAATGCTGCCTAGTAGTGATCATGAAAATACGTGCCAGATTCTATCCACAGCTACTGTTGGAAAACAGAGCAGTTCCTGGTCCTCACAACAGTGGTTTGCAACTTCACACCTTGGTTTTAAATGCAAACACATAATTTACAAGATGGCTTCTGAAGAAAAGCACACTAAATGCATGATAAATAGATTCTATGTTCGAATGTCATGAGAGTCTTGCCAACTTTTGTATTTCCACATTTAATATGAGGAAAAAGGATAAAAATAAAGGTGATCCATCAGCACAGGTGACATGTGTTTCAGAGTGGCTTCATGGGTTTGCTGACCACCCCAGTAAGAAGCACAGGCAGGTCTGTTTGTCCTCTGCAGCACCACAAAGCCCTGAACAAGCACGTAGCAAACATTATCTTCCTTCCTTTCCTAGACTTGGCACTTTAGCTCAAGGTAATTACTGTGCAAACAACTTTTATTAACCTGTAATTGCTTCTGCCAAAAGCAGCGTGACGGAGAACTGATTTTTTTTTGTTTGTGTTCTTAGTAGCTACAGCTACCACCATGAAATATTGCCAACTCCCTGCATTTTTGTGTATGTGACGAAAAATCTGTTTCAGACACACTCGAGTTTTCTGCTCTCACCTTGCTAGGTAAACAACTGATAACATTGAAAAGTGTGCATGAATAAGCTACAGAAATGCAACCTCAATTACAGTTTGTACTTGAGACATGAAATTGTAATGTACTTGTGAAAAGACTTAGTATGACTTTGGAAAAGTAAACAAATTTTTTTCCTTAGTTGCTTTGAAGAATAATTTTACCTCCTTTTTAGTGGTGTATTTGATTTACACACATGAACTTTGAGGCTAGAATATCCTTTAGCAGCCATCTCTTTTCATTCCAATTATTTTACATTTACTTCACTGATTCTTTTATACATAAGCCACTCTAAATCATTTTTTAAGAACTATCAAAATGAATACAGAAATGCATGACTCTCATGAAGTTTGTCGCTTCCTGTTTTGTCAAATTTACTATTTTTAATTTTATTTTTTAAATGAAAGTAATGATGTCATTGCAGAACTCTGGGGGGCTAAAAAAAAGTATTTAAAAAAGAAAAAAAGGCCAGGTGCTGTGGTTCTAGCTGCAATCCTAGCTGGGGAGGCAGAGATTGCAAGGATCATGGTTTGAGGCTAGCCAGACAAAAAGTTCATAAGACTCCCTTTTAACCAGTGACTGGGCATGGTGGGACACACCTGTCATTCCAGCTATGTGGGAAGCTAAGTAGGAGGATCCCAGTCCAAGCCAGCCTGGACATAAATGTGAGACCCTATTTGAAAATAACTAAAGGAAAAAGGGCTCAAGTCGTAGAGCACCTGCCTAGCAAGCGCAAGGCCCTGAACTCAAATCCCACTACCATCAAAAAAAAAAAAAAAAACCCCACAAAATAAGAAAAGGAAAAAAGCCCCACCCATTATTCTACTATCATTGTACCCAGAAATATTTTCTAATTTCTTCAACATACACACACATTTTTTAAGAGTAGTAGTATGATATCATTTATACCATTTTGTATACTGCCTTTTTAACTTGGTCATTTCTCATAACAAGAAAAATTCTTCAGATTCTTGAGTTTTGAGGACTGTGTGATATTTCACTTGTGAGGTACCATTACAATGTATTTAACTGTCCTTCAATCACTGGTCATTTCGGTTCCCTATAATTCTATCCTTGGAAATATTCCATAGAGCTGTCTTTACTTCTAGAGTTTGTGGAGCAGGACTGACGCTCCTTCCAGAGGATCGCTAGTACACAGCCCTTCAGAAAGGCTTGTATTTGGGCCTATGTCAAGATCTTTTCTTCCCAAATGTTCCTTCCTGGGTGTACATTACTCAGAGAACCTAAATGAATGCAATGACCTCACTTGAGTAGCCAACTGCACACTTCACTGAAACTTGAAGCTTTTGAGATCCATGAGCCTTCTTTACTTATTCACAAACAACCCCATCTTGATGAGAGATGTTCCTCATCATCTCTCAAGGGAAAGACATTTCAACCCATGCAAAATCCTCACCTGTGGAAATTCTCAAGGAAATTCTAACAGCTCTGAGTTAGTTTTTAATCTTCGAGGTAAACACAAGCCACATATCCTACATGAAGGTGGGACATATGTGATAAAATATGCGGTCTAGTTGAAAGACCTTGAGGATGGGAATCTAGAGCTGGGCTGTCCAATAGGATTGTCACCAACCATGTGTGGCTGTTGAGCACCCAAAAAAGGCTGGCCAGAGGGGAGAGGTGTCATGCATATAAAATGCATACCAGATTTCAAAGATTCAATACAAACAAAGACTATATACTATCTCACCAGAAATTATCTTATATTGATTACATGTTAAAATGTAATATGTTTGATATTTTTGGCTAAGTAAACTGTATTACTGTATTATTAAAGTTGATTTCATCTGTTTCTTTTTGCTTATTTAAATTGCCAATAAGAAAATACAAAATTATGTGTATTATATAGGTATATTATAATTCTATTGAGTAATTCTATTGAAATCTATTGGTTAGATACTTGGAGTTTACTCATATACATATATATGCAAATATACAGCATATATATAACACATATGTACATATACTGCCTACTTCTATAAGAATCTTTTTTGACTTTTGATTTTTTTTATTGTTGTCGTGGGTGGGAGTACATTGTAGCATTTACAAAGGTTCTTACAATGTATCAAATGTATCATATTTGAATTTACCCCCTTCCATAAGAATTTTAAAACATCAAGAAGATAATATATATAAGTTGACAGCTACAACTGCATGTTCAAAATAAGTGAAGAATAAAATCTATTGCAATTTCCCCAACACTAGTTTCTCCCATTGATATTATGAATGTAAATGGGGGTACTCATCTTTCTTACTATTCATCCCCTCCCTGGTCTGTGTCACACACAGAGCAGCAGACTTTCTTATGTCCTCAGGCAGACAGTACCATCTCCAAATATAAACTTGACACTTTTAGTAGTAACAAAAATTTGTTTCTAGGGCATTTGCATTTTGTACTTCCTCTTTAAATATGGTATTTAAAGTGTTGTTTGGCCAGGCACCAGTGGCTCACACCTATAATCCTAGCTACTCAGGAAGCAGAGATCAGTAGGATCACAGTTCGAAGCCATCCTGGGCAAATAGTTCACAAGACCCTATCATGAAAAAAAGCCATCACAGAAAAAGGGCTGGCAGATTGGCTCAAGCAGTAAGAGCACCTGCCTAGCAAGCATGAGCCCCTGAGTTCAAACCCCAGGCCACAAATTAGTAAATAAATAAGCATCATTTGCCTTTGCTGGAGAAACTTGAAGTATCAATAAAGGACATATGAAGTTACTCGTTGTGCCTCAGTTTAAGATTTGCAATAAATATATATATGGCAGTACTGGGGTTTGAACTCAGGTCTCACGCCTGCTAGGCAGGCATTCTACCACTTGTCACTTTTCCAGCCCTTTTTTGTGTTGGGTATTTTCAAGATAGGGTTTCATGAACTATTTGCCCTGACAGGCCTCAAACCGAAATCCTCCTAATCTCTGCCTCCTGAATAGCTAGGATTGCAGGTGTGAGCCACTGGCACCCAGCTGCCATATATTTCTGTAGTCAAGCAAATACCTTAAAAAGTTCTGTGGTCCAAGCTGAAGTTGAGTGTTATTTAAGGTGATATCTAGAGGTTGTTGATTGCATTGCATACTTTAATTTTGAAGAAATAAATAGGTCAGTGACCTGGATGATAGAGGTAGTTCCATTTCAGCTATCTGGGCAGAGATGCTTAGTAGATGGAAAGACCCAGCCATAGATAATAAGAAAATACAATAAGATGTCAATTCTGTGTCCAGAAATGATAAATTCTGGTATACCCCAGGAACTAAACAAAATCAAATAAGAATTAGGCAGGGAACTACATTCCAATTAATTTCTACATAGGAAGGAAAAGTTAGTAATTGCCTCCAAAGTAGTACCCACAGTAGAATTTGATGGATAGATTATAATATCTGCAAAAAATTATTCTTGATACTTCTATATTTTAATTGGAAATCCACACCTAAAGCCTAATACTCCTTTAAATGATAGTTTATTAAAATCATAGGATGAAAGATGAATCTTAATTACCAATGGCATATGGATTGACTTAATCACTCTCCATTACACTGTGAACACTGGACTTCACAATCAATTGCTCCATGATAGTAATTATGACCACTATAATAGAAAAAGCATCTCAAAGCATTTGTATTGCGAGGCACTTTTCTTGCTCTCCAGGTTAGAAACTGAGAACCAAATAACTTGTTTGGCTGATGGTTCTCATTTTATATATTTTTGTCAGTGATTCAGATTGTCATTTTGTAACTTAAGTTTATTCTTAACTACATGATAGCATGACTGATATAGTATAGCCCTCATAATTGAAATTGTTTACTAACTCATATATGCTGTTCCTTTTCTGAGCTCAGTGTGGAAGAATGAGACCATTATCAGACAGCCTGAGAAGGACCTCTAAGAAGTGTGCTCTGTCCATTCCTTTTACATAAAAGAAACTAGTTGTGTTTGTTCTTGGAGCTATGTTGAGAATTAAAGGCAATAATGTTGTTAGATGATCTTAGGATTACCCTCAACTTTTGCTGGAACACAGTGAATTGTGGTAGAGGAGAAAGAGCCTGGGCCAGAAATTAGGTTGTAATTTTGGCAGAGCCATTCAGGAGGTTTAAAGAATTCTGTAGAAAATTTGCCTTATTTCTTCGAGAGTTAATTTTCCTATCTCTTTTTCTGTACATTACGCATCTATCCATCCAACCACACAGGCACATAATAAATATAATTATGTGGTTGAGTGAAAATATTAAATAGCTTTTAATGGGAATTTGCATTGTCTGAAATTTGGTAGGTACTTGATAAATGAATATTAATTTATCCTCCACTTCTCCCTACTCAAACTAAATACATGAAGGAGTGTATAAAATTCAAAGCAGGACACTTCACTTTAGCTATTCTTGAGACATCTTAAGTATTACATGTCATTACTAAATAGATTTGCTTCCAGATCTTTACCACTTGTCTTATCTTTCTCCATATAATAAAGTAGCTCTTACAGCATTTATCATAATATCCCACAACTGGCAACAAACCAAATGGCTATCCATCGATCACTGGATAAATAATACACACACACACACAAAATGGACCACTCTGTTCAGTAATAAAAGGGAATGAAGTATTAAAACATGCTACAGCATGGACGTGCTTTGAAAACATTGTGCTAAGTCCAGCACATATGTATTGTAGAATTCGTTTGTGCGAGATGTTCAGAATAAGCAAATACATGGAGACATAAATAGATTATTGGTAGCCAGGGACTGTGGGGAGGAGGGAATAGTGGGTGACTGATAATGGGTACAAGGTTCTTTTTAGAGGGATGAAAATATTCTAAAATTGATTGTGGTGATGGTTGCACAGTTCCTTGAATATACTAAAAACTACTGAATTGTCCATTTTAAATAGGTGAGTTATATGGTATGTGAACTATATCTTAATAAAGCAGCTATAAAATAAAAAGGACTATACAAGTATATGCTTCTCAAAATAATATTTATCTTAAGGATGTACATCCTTGCTCCAAATGAAGGTAGCTAGTGCAACAATTTAATTGATCCAAAATTAAGTGAGGGGGAAATAGGATTGTAACATGCTATCATTTCCTTTCCTTATTGATTACATTAAGTCTTCCATTAAGTGAAAGGAGAAAATGGTTTGTACAAAATACGACTCATTTCATTAACACTGAATCTTGTTGATGGGGATAATTTTATTGTCTTAGGTCCTAAACCTAGTGCAGTCCTACGTGACCCTCCGAGTTCCTCTGTATGTTTCCTACGTGTTCCATTCCCCTGTCGGGGTAGGAGGCTGGCAGCATTTTGACTTGAAGTCGGAGCTCCGTCTGACTTTTGTGTACGACACTGCCATCTTGTGGAATGACGGGATTGGCAGCCCGCCAGAAGCCGAACTCCACGGTGGGTTAAGACTTGGGAAAGAAACTCTAGCTTTCTTACATTTTTGAATTGTGTAAGACGATTTGTTTTTACTCTAGCTAAAAATAATAGAAGCAGCTTTCAGTATATTTTACTTTTGTATTCAATAAGATAATTTTTCACACTTATCAAGGAAAAACTCTTGATAAGGGATCTTGATTGATATGGGATCATATCAATGCCTCAGATTTTGCATAATATGTGGCTGCTAAATGTAACTTTCAATATTTTGTGGGTATTTTACACTAACAGCTCATCTTAGGTGATGAGTCATTTATGTACTACACAACACAATTTGCATAGTTCCCTAGGTTCTAGAAAACCAATAGGGAAGTTCCAGTTGAAAATAGGAATGAATGCAAGGGGAGAAGTTACATATTTTGCTTCTGAAAATGAGAGATGCATTTTACTTTTCTTATTTATTTACTTATTTTACCCTTTCCCTACTATCCCACCTCTCATTATTCAACAGCTTTCAGTGCATATCATTATGTACATACAGAGATATCATGCATTTCGATATTGTTGACTCAAGAGGTACATTTTAAAGTCCAGGGTGAATTGTGCCCTGGATGCTGGTTCCGACCCTATAACTAACTGTGTAATCTGAAGCATATTGATTAATATTTCTGTGGCTTAATTTCTTCTGATGATAGCTAAAATTTGTAGTTTCTCTTTCTGATTTAAAATTCTATTTTTCTGTGACACTTTGGCAGAATGTCTTAGAGCACAGTAGGAAGTGCTGTTGACTAGCACTTAGAGCCCATCAGCACCTGCAAAACTGTTTAAAAATCTATGTCAAAATCATAATGTAAAGTCTACACGTTCCGAGCTAATTATTCCATTAGCAGAGTTAGTGTGTTTTCTTTCCAGACTCACATTACTGTTCTGCTTCGTGAAAATCTATGTCATGAAAGTGCGACATTTTGCTAGCTAGAAAGAAAGTAAGAGTTGCTAGCACATCTCAAATATAAATCTACAATCTGAAGCAGGTTAAAGTTACCTTAGAGCTATCTGACAAGTAACATGACCACCCTGAATAGTCATTCCAGATTATTCCAAGTGTTTAATCTCACTTTCACCTTAGACAGTGTATAGTTAACTGGATCTTATTGATCCTGCTGTGGTTCTCGGCCTTTACAGCAGAATCTCCTGCTTCCTTCTTATCTCTGGAGCCAAATTTTGTCAAACTATTAAATTTTGGGGGAAAGCACCAGTTTTCTTCAAGACTTTAAAATTTGCTATCGTTCTGAAGAAATCAAACCCATTTCCATTTCCAAATCTCTACAATTCTGGCAAGTTCATTTATCATGTCTCTCCATTTACAGCTCTGCTTTTGTAGATTAAAGCCTTTAAAAAAAATACACATAGCATTGTAATCAATCTGTGTATTTCTTAGTGGCCAGGTTCATATTACCTAATTCATTTTACCTCCACTTTAGACATCTTAGAAAACAAAACAAAGAAACTTCTACCTCTCTTGTTATTCGAATTTTTCTGATAATATCCATTGCCTAGACTGTTTAAAGATGAGACAAATCTGAATTGAGAAAAATTGAGATTCTGGAAAGATTCTGCACTTTAGGAGTCTGTGGTCACTTACATTTCTACCTTGTGTTCTACTCCCATTGTAGGTTCTCTCTATCCAACCAGTATGCGCATCAGTGAAGAGGGATGCCTGGCTGTGAACTTCAAGACCCAGGCTCAGTTCCATGGCTTGTTTGTGCTATCACATCCTGGTAAGCACCATTACCCATTAACACCCATGACAAGTATGTGCATATGGTTTTTCAATATCTACACAGGTTTCAGCAGCCTTCCCTAATTTGAGATGAATTTCACATGAGTAATTATCGCTTTATGGGCTTCATGGTCCCTTACATCTCACCAGCTGCAAAACCATCGTTATGTAGACTTTTTGAGGAAATGCAAAAGCATTGAGTACACATAAAAGGAAACTCTATGGAGTTCATTTTAAGAAGAGTTTTCCTTAGGAAAAGTACATTGGAATAACAGTCCCTTTCTCTGCTTTACTTCTACTGTACAAAAAATAAATTTTGCATTTCAAGTGATTTGTTTAGCAAGCTCTTCTCTATTCACAGATCTTTTCTAGGTACTGTGAGAAACCTTTATTATGAAGTCAGAGTGGCACTTCACTTTCATAGTCAAGTTTCAGACATGTTAACCAGCTATGTTTAATAAGGATTTGCTAGGCAATTGTACTCTCTCTATGGGCTGTGCTTTGAATATTAATAAGGCACCATTCAATAAAGCACCATGTTTGTTTGTTTGTTTTATAAGTGAAAGTTCATTAGAACTAATTCATTTTTATTTGACCTTCCATACTACTAAATTGATTTGCATGTTTCACTGCTGTGCAAATTTTTGTCAGACTGGAAAGGAAAAATTGTTCACTTACCATCTCCATAGCCTTTCTTTTTCTGGGCATGAGCTCTGAGGAAGGAAAAATAGAGCTGAATATTCAGGAACACAAAGAGGGTCTGTTGTATTTTTATGGCATTGAGCTACAAGAAATATAGCATCAAAAAGAAGCACTTTGCTTTATTGTAAAAGTTCTGGAAAGTCAGTATTTCCCGGCCTTTACAGTTCCTTCTACATGTCCACCTTTCTAATAAACTGCATCATTGTTTGGCCCCAATTGCAAGTAATCTAATTATAATTAGATTCCATTCATAAATTGGGTTTGCCCAGCTGCACAGATGCTAATAGACTTTTAGGTTCAGCCCATAACTGTGATGCACAATTAATGCATTCTCACCAGCCCTGGTTGCCCTGCTGTTCTCTGTGGAAAGTAGCCCTGAGCAGGAAGAGCTTCTCTGAGTCTGTTTTTGTTTTGTTTTGGGTTTTTCTGTGTGTGTGTGTGTGTGTGTTTGTATGGTATTGGGGTTTGAACTCGGGGCTTCATGTTTGCTAGGCAGGCACTCTACCATTGAGCCACACCACCAGCCCAAATAAGAGCATTTCTGTATAATTACCTTTTCACAGAATAACAGAGCAGAAAAAACACTGATTTAGGAATCTAAAGTCACACATCCTATCTGTGTCATCTTGGGGGAGTCACAGTCACTCCCAGATTCTTCAGCTGCAAATTAAGTATGGTTTTGCTAACCTTGCCTAATTTGCAGACTTAAGAGCAAATTATACATAATACAGTACTTTGAAAACCCTAAATTGTTGCATATTTTTTTGATTTAGCCACTATACATTTTTATTCTGGGTACTTTTCTAGCATCCTTTACAAGCTCAATGATCTTGTCAGCTGATCATCCAGGCCTGACCTTTTCCCTTCGCCTCATAAGGAGTGAACCAACCTATAACCAGCCTGTACAGCAATGGAGCTTTGTCTCAGACTTTGCAGTAAGTAATTAAGACTTATTCAGTTTTCCTTTTCTGCTGCCTTCTGATTCCACTTCAGGGAAAATCTATAAATGTCTATAAATGCCTATTAATGCTTCCTTCCTCCTCAAAGGTACGTGACTACTCAGGAACCTATACTGTAAAGCTGGTGCCTTGCACCACTCCATCCAATCAGGAGTATCATCTTCCAGTCACCTGCAACCCCAGAGAGCCTGTCACCTTTGACCTTGACATTCGGTTCCAACAGGTGTGTCTCATAGAATTATTATTTCCTCAACTTGATAAACCACTTTGATTAGTAAAATTTTCTTCACATATAGGTAACTACTTTATTTGCATGCTGAGAAAAAAGGAAGGAAGCAAGAAAGAAAAGAAGGAGGAAGAAATTGTTTTTTATCTGTTGTTAGCTCAGGATATAAAATTCATAGTTTAAATTCATGCAAGAGTTATTTATTCTTATCTGATCTCCTGTTTCCTCCTCTAGTTTGCTGCCTTGGATATTTGAGAGTTTTCCCCAGAGTTTTGTACTTCTTTATCTTGTTCTTAATCTCCAAGGAAAATGAACATCCTGTAGCTCAATCCACCTCAAAGTACCTAACTACCATTATGCATTTAAAAAAATTAATGGCAACTTTTGTCCAAAAATGTATACCACTGACCAAGCTATTTATAAATCTTTTATGTGGCCCCAATAAACCAGCAGAAATGAGCTCAAGCAATGCTGGTTAGTCCCATTCAAAAAATTTATTTGACCCCACCATTTCTGCCTTTTTAAGGACGAAGCTGAGTTGGGCATAAAAGTTTCATTGCATTGTTCAGTATTCTGCATGACAGTGTACAGCAGATATGTGTGACTATGAACAGTCTGGTATGTACTTGTTTACCACCAGAACCATCAACAATTTATAAAAGGGCTGCTACTCTTGTTTTAGGTCAGTGATCCAGTGGCAGCTGAGTTTAGCCTAAACACCCACATGTATCTACTTTCCAAGAAGAGTCTCTGGCTGTCAGATGGATCCATGGGATTTGGGCAAGAGAGTGACATTGCTTTTGCAGAAGGTATGGCTCTCATACTCAGAAAGTATGAGAAGGAGGCTCTGCTTGTCCTGTGTATCATTGGTGCTTTGCTTTATTGGGATGTTTGAGGGGGAAATTTTTAGCCTCTTTTACAGTTTTTGAGGATATGACTGAGTATCACTTTGACAGATGTGAGAAGTCACAAAATTGGGTATATTTTACTGGATGGATTTTTTTTATTCTGAGAGATTTAACTGCCATCTCCTGTACCTAAGTGACTTTTAGAACCAGTATGGGTTTTGCTTTTCTTTTGTTTCAATTTTGAAAGTGTAAAATACTGCAGCTACCTGAAATTATAAATGCCAAACAAGGCAAAGATTGTGCCCACCTTTTTTGAAAATGTAATTTAGAAGGTAGCAAAATACCTAGCATGTGTGAGGAGTTCAGTATTATCTGTAAAATATGTGATCAAATACCAGGGTCTTTATTAAGCCCTCTTTCAAAAGCAAATAAAATTAACCAGGTATTTTATTGACATTTTCTTTTTAGTGTTATTCTATATTGTATTAGTCTACTAATTAACTTATGGAAACTGGACTTTAACCACAAGGGGATGTTATGAATGTCAAATTATAGGCCAGGCCGGTGTGGTGGTGTATATCTGTAATTCCAGCTACTTTGCAGGTGGAGGTAGGAGGATCTCCTACAAGGCTGGCCTGGGAAAAGCCACGACCCTATCTGAAAAACAAACTAAAAGAAAAAGTGCTAGATGCATGGTTCAAGTAATAGAGCACTTGCTAGCAAGCTCAAGGCCCTGGGTTCAATTCAAAGTACTGGAAAAAAAATTACAGGCCAGACTTTGAGATTGTTTCCATTAGTGGCTGGCTTGGGAGGCTCCATAACTCTCAGCCACTTGGGGTCAGTCTGTGGAATGACCTGACCTGAAAACTTGGGGTGGACCAGATTCCAAAGCTAACACAAAAAAGGCTTCCACACACATTTGATGACAGACTAGAGAGTGAAGAAACCATGTCTGTGTCCTTGTTGTCACAAACTGTAACATCACAGGGGACACCCTATCATGTAACAGAAATAACATTTCCATATCTGTTTCAGGGGATGTAATTTATGGTCGTGTCATGGTAGATCCTGTCCAGAATCTGGGTGACTCCTTTTACTGCAGCATTGAGAAGGTTTTCCTGTGCACTGGAGCTGATGGCTATGTGCCCAAGTACAGCCCAGGCAATGCAGAATACGGCTGCTTAGCTGATTCTCCTTCACTCTTATATAGATTTAAAATTGTGGTAAGTGCTTTGACCCAAACAACGAACAAGATAGACTTTCAAGATTAAATCTTTTGTCTTACAATTTAAACAATATCATCATTTTTAACTAAATCAAGTAGTGACATTTTATGGTAAGTTGAACTTGTCCAAAACTAATAGGCAAACATTCTGCCCTTGCATAAGTTGGCATTACCTACAGCAATCATCATTTTCCTTGTTGCTTCAAGGACAAAGCTCAGCCAGAAACCCAAGCCACCAGTTTCGGAAATGTCCTATTTAATGCCAAACTGGCAGTGGATGACCCTGAAGCCATTGTCTTAGTGAACCAACCTGGATCAGATGGATTTAAAGTCGACTCCACACCACTCTTCCAGGTAGGCCCCAGACAAACTCACTTAATAGCCACATGCAAGTGACTAACATTTCCATCTCAAATGTCTCATAAACAAAGGGAAATAATGGTAACATCACATACAGTGAATCACAGCATTTAATAAGAGCCTGCATTCCATAAAATCTACCAATTTTTTTATCAATGTATAAATATGACTATGTACAAAGAAGGCTCTTATTCAGCTCATAATATAAGTCTAATTCTGATAGTTGGGAATTTTCTTATTGAATACTTCTTTCCTACAGAATTTATACGGCCATCTTTTTAGAGTGAACTGATTAGACTCAGAAAAGCAATTGTGTGCAGCTTGCAAAATCTCCACTCTAGATATTTCAGAAGCCAAGAAAGAAAATCCTGACATGGAGACAAGATGTAAAGAGGGACGCAGGCAGCTATAACAACATCTAGTGGACGAATGTGTTAACATTGGGGATCCTTAGGAAAACAAGTGTACCCTTAATGATATTTACTGAAACTTACGCAAACACTATTTTATACAGACAGGTGAAATGGGTTGGTCTTATTTGACTTAAATAAGGAAGGAATTTTTTTTTATCATTTTTACATTTACTCACATGTGTATACATTGTTTGGGCCACCTCTCCCCCCACACACTCCCACCCTGTCCCACCCCCGGCTTCCAGGCAGAACCTGTTCCACCCTCTTGTTCTCCAATTTTGTTGAAGAGAAAACATAAGAGATAATAAGAAAGACATAGCATTCTACTAGTTTGAGATAAAGATAGCTACACAGAGAGATTCCTAGCTTTGCTTCCATGCACATGTGTATTACAACCCACATTAGTTCATCTCTACCAGACCTCTTCACTAGTTCCTAAACCCCTTCCCATAGTGGTCTCTGCTAATTTAAGATTACTTTATTTGCTCCTGTACAGTGTCCACATCAACCACACTCAAGTTTTAGGTTTCCTTCCCTTTCTCTATTCCTCCCGTGTGCTTTCTCCCTTTAGTGTGTGGCTCATGTCCAATAATATTACTGTATTTGTTTTAGGTCTAAAGTACACATATGAGGGAGAACATTTGATTTTTGGCCTTCTGAGCCTGGCTAACTTCACTTAAGATGATGTTCTCCAGTTCCATCCATTTACTTGTGAATGACAAAATTTCATTCTTCTTTGTGGCTGAATAAAATTACATTGAGTATAAATACCACATTTCTTAATCCATTTGTCAGTAGTGGGACATCTTGACTGTTTCCATAGCTTGGCTATTGTGAATAGTGCTGCAATAAACATGGGTGTGCAGGTCCTTTGTAATAACCTGAGTCACATTCCTCCAATTATATACCTAGGAGCAGAATTGCTGGATCACATGGCAGATCTATGTTTAGTTTTTTAAGAAGCCTCCATATTGTTTTCCAAAGTGGTTGCACTAGCTTACATTCCCACCAACAGTGTATGAGGGTTCCTTTTTCCCCACATCCTCAACAACATTTGTTGGTGGTGGTGTTCTAACAGGGGTGAGGTGGAATTTTAGTGTGGTTTTGATTTGCATTCTTAAGGAAGGAATCTCAAGGAAATCTACTTCTTATTGTGAATCTTACCAAAAAATGAAAGTACAACTTTTTTTTTTCATTTTTACTATTAACTCTCAAAGCACCTGACCTCTCTAAATACTGAATGCTTCTAAGAGTCATCAGAAAATCCTTCCAAATTTTCCCAGGCCCTGGAAAAGCTTAAAAACTGACACTCCTCCCCCACAGCCTGCCTGCCCTATACCATGATCTTATATGGAAATAAGCAGCAAGACATACTGAAAAAGTCCTGAGGTTCAGAGGGCTTGAGCTCCAGTTCTGCTTCTAACACTAATTGAGTGAGGCTAGCCAGGCACTAATTTCCTGTGTATTCTTAATCGTTTGTTTTTTTTTTTAAATGAACAAGCTCAACTGTGAAATATCAAAAGTCCTTATTGTGTTCACATTCTGTGACTGCAAATACCAAATATTCACCAGTACATGGTCACTTAAGAGTTGCACAGTTTAAGCTGGGAGCGTAGTTCAGTGGTAGGGCACATGCTTACTACGTGCAAGGTCCTTGGGTTTGATCCCCAGCATTGCAGGAAAAAAAAGAGTTGAAAAGAACATATTACAGAGTCAGAGCACTTTGCAAAAAGCCTTGCACATATTATGCACTGAGGAATATTGAATAACTTAATTCCATAAATGAAATGATCGTAATCTCTGCCATTAATTTCTTTTGCAAATAGTCATGAATTGGGTCAGCTTAGAAAATAATTTCCTAACAAAGAGGGTTGTGTTTTCTAGGTTGCTCTGGGCAGAGAATGGTACATACACACAATCTATACAGTAAGATCGAAAGACAGCACCCTTCGAGGTATCGGCAAAAGGAGCGTGGAGTACCAGTACCACTCCCTGGTGCATCACAGGAAGCCCCAGGCAACTATCAAGAACAGAAAGAAGAGGGAGGTCAGGAGCACATCCCTGCTGGCAAGGGAAATTGGTGCTGAAAACAACCGAGGAACAAACATCCAGCACATTGTCCTGGACCGCAGCAAAAAGAGGCAGACCCCCCAAGGCAGAGTTCCTCCTGACAGCACCTTACCCCGGGAGCTCAACAGTCCCGGCTCTGAGATCAGCCTAGTCACTGTCTTGGGAGGCACTGCAGTAGGATTACTCACCATCTGCCTCACTGTCATTGCAGTAGTGGTGTGCAAGAGCAAGGGGAGTGTCAAGGGGAAGAATATCCCAAAAGGCTCTGGCAGCAGCAAGCCTGTGATGCCCCCACAGAGCCACCAAAGTGACAGCTCAGAGGTGTGACCACCACAAGTGGAATTCAACCTGCTTCTCAAGTGCCTCAGAAAAAACTATAATAGAACCCCAGATGCTTTTGATAAACAGCAGAGAACTGGGGACTTCTGTGATGAAGCTGCTCAGAGAACCTGATCATGCTAAAGTACTTTGATTTGAATTCTGTCTGTTCTTTCATTCACCAAAACATATGTTCAGGCCACATCTGTCCTGTTGCTCAGAAACCATCAACAACAGGGTCACACCTACACAGAGCCATGGACGGATGGCAAGGAGTGTACTTCCTGTTTTAGGCATGTTCTCTACATAGTAGAGGTGAACCTACTCAAAGGTGCTAACAGACTTTCTCAGAAGTTTAAGAGAAGTCTATTGTTACGTTAGTGTGAACTTTGAAGGTGCAATTATCACATTGTTTATTCATTGTATAACTGATTATTACTAAAAAGATTTCAATTAGCAGTGATGGAAGAGTGATGAACACATTCTTATTATGACAAGTTTTCTAATAAGTGAAGACAATGTAGAATTATGACCAGGGCTAGCTCAACCCACAAATCACTTTTCTGCTGTTTGGGAGAGAGTGGAAAGAAATATAGAAAGAAAATAACTTCCTCACTTGGATTTGAATTGCTTCTCATTCTCTTCAGGCCCTCTGTGTTTTATTTGATTATTTAATTTTAAGTTAAACCAAAGAATATGTTAATTCTGGGAAATATTTTTGAGAGAGGCTGTTCTGTTTGGGTATAGAGTGAATGATAGCAGAGCCCTTGCATGGGAATATAATAATAATATGCTTTTTTTTGGTGCTACATATTTGCATATTTGTGGGAAACATGAGGGTTGGTGACTTGATGACAAAGAAATGCCATAGAGTCAGATTCACTACAAGACAATGTTCTCCAAGAACTGAGCCTAGATGTTTGCAGTATTGAACCCATAAATGATAACGAGAAACATCTTTACAGATGGTGAAGAGTGAAAGTGGTATTTATTAATAAAATATGTATAACCAGAGTGCCTCTTACACATACTTTAAAATAAAAAGACATTATGACAGATGAGAAATAAATGAGATTAGCCCTTGGAGTAGCATAGCCACATAATAGCATGCAGAACTTAACTCGACCTTAGGACATGTAAGTAGATTTCTAGTCACCATCTGGTCCAAATGATGGAAATCTCTAAACCGTCATTCTAGAATGGTGTTGGAGATGACCCGTGCCACTGATCATATTCTTCTTTGATCCAAGAAGAAAGCATTGCTCTCTGGCATCCCTACTTCAATGAATTAGTGCATTGAGCTCTTGACAGTATCTAAAAATATAATTTGTAACACTGCTTATCTTTCCCCTTACAAAGCCAGGGAACTTGAATGAGCTTCCTTGGCATTGCTTTTCTGCAAATACGTGTTCTTACCAAATGGAAGAAATATTGGTTGAAGGGGGAAAACTTCTGTAGCTTAATGATCAGTCTCCCAAAAGCTAGTAAGTGTGTGTATTTCAGACAAAAATAAGGTCAGAAGGGGGAAAAAAGGGTTAAAGCCATCAAGTGCTGCCTGGAATCCATTTTTCACCTCAGCCATCACCTGGCTAAGGGAGGCATCATGGTGAAATGGAGGTTTGGGAAAGGCAAACTTCTCCCCAGGTCATACCTGTTCATCATACCTGTGAGTGGCAACCATCTCTTGGTTGAAAAAAGGAAGCTACACTGGCAGTGGGAGAGAGCTGAAAAGTGATACTTGCTTCCCTTCTCTTGGGCAGCTCTGCACTTCACATTCAAAGTCTTTTAAAGAATAAAGTAGACTATAGTGTCCTTCTACTGAGGAATTAACAAATTTCAAAAGTACCTACTAATGACTTCTAAAAATAGAGGTACTGTACAGCCTAGGAGTTCGTTTATCAAAATAAGCAGTGATACTTTCTTAATTAGCTATCCTCCTTCTTTTGCTCTATCTTCTGGCAGGTGCTTAGCTATATCTTTAGCTACCTCATAATTAACATGAATGAAGCAGCTTCAAGTAGTCCATGCACTTTCACTACTTAGGGTTGGGTTCAATTTACAAAGACTGTTGGAGCAAGTTCTCAACCCACTTTCTGTACTTTAGTAGTTAAAAGCTTTAGAATCTGGCTATGACGCAATCTCTGATCTCAACCAGCGGACAGTGATCAGTGAAGCATTATTATGACAAATCTCTTTTGGGCTGGCTGATTTGATAGCAAATTTCACTCCATAATGTATTGTTCCAGTGAAGCAACTGTCTATAAATTAAATAACATGTTTACAGAACGAGTCTAACCTTCCCTCCAAAAGAAATTATCTTTCTCTCTGCTCATCTCTTCTCTTCCTCCCTCCCTTTCCATTCTTCCTCCCCTTTACCCATTGAAAAAGGAGTAACAAGTAGATATAGCTTTCTTAAGTAGAAAGCATTTGAATTTTTGCATAATCTTTTAAATATCTATTTACTGAATATGTGGTTTAACATACATTAAGTATTTTTAAAACTCTTTTTAGTGGGAAAAATAAGGAAAAATTTTGTTAAATAAATCAGACTCTTGTTTTCATTATTTTGTGTTTAGGGAACTATCCCAGTAGTGTGAGAACAAATACATGAAATAACTTACCCTAGAGAGAAGATTGTCAGCAATAATATCTCCTTAATTCCTCAATACCTCATGACCCCAATAAAGGTCTCATTGGTATTACACACAACCAAAAAGCAAAAATATTACCACCTGGAGGGGTGACTTAAGCAATAGAGCTTCTGCCTTGCACCCATGAATCCCTGAGTTAAAACCCCAGCCCTACCAAATAAATAAATATCACCATTAATGGCTCTCTAAGCATATAAACCAGGAAGCATTAAAATACATAAATAAATTTTAATAATCATTTCATTCCTGTTCATTCCCTTGAACAACATTCACTGAAAGCTCTCCTAGGATCAGTTAGCCATTCTGAGAGATTACATCGAAAACAAGTTACTCTCCATGTCCTCAGTCAGTGTATAGCCAAATGATGCTCTTTCTTTGGACTAACATTTCAGGATTTGCATTAAGATTCTCTTCTGGACCAAGCACACACCTGGCATATCTGTGAACCACAATTCAAAAATCTCTCTGGGGCACCAACATTAGATTCTACTCTTTTTTGTCTAAAACACACTCCACATGATATGAATCACTCTTATCACAGATGTAATACAAAATGTTTTAAATCAGTAATATCTCAGACCCACACAGAGGATGTACATGGTATGGATGAAGATGACCCTGAATTTTCTTTTCCTTTTAGTGCATGCCAGGGCCCCTTTATTACAAGAAAGGGATGTAGCACATGAACTCGTCCTCCTTTAGTGTCATCATCACCTCCTGAAGTCCACCCTCTCACCAGCATCCACAGTGTTTGGACAATGTGAGTAAAGACCAGGTAGAACCCTGCTACAAGGCCACAGCATAGCATTTGTGATGACAAGGACCCATTGTGGGCTCAAGATGAAGGGATTTCTATCTGTAAGCAGTAAAGGAGCTTTATCAATCATTTACCTCTAATCTTTTCCAGGGTACCAAGTCCAAGGTCAACATTAAAAGTTAAAATAGACCTGCGTGAAAATTTCAGGGAACCTGTCCTCATATGTATTGATGCTAGGAGTTAAAATATTTCCAAGATGAATAAGGTGAAAGTTGCAATATTAGTGCTGAATGAAATGACATTATGATTTTTAAAGTTGGAAGTTTTATTTTGAAAATTCCTAGTTAATTTGACTGGAAAACCATTTCAGTTCTTTCACAGGAAAAAGGAAAAATTGCTAAAGATGTAAATGTTTTGCAAGTTGGAATTTTTCATAATTGTATTATTTTTAAAACATACATGTGACTACTCTTTGAAACTCTCATTTTTCTAGCGATGATAGCAATAATAAAAGGATGAAAACAAGTGTCTCCACAACTCTATGGCAAATGAATGGGACTCAAATGTTTGGTTAATCTGACTAGCCAAAGTTCATGAGCTGGCAGAATGGCTCAAGTGGGAGAGCACCTGCCTAGCAAGCACAAAGCCCTGAGTTAAAACCCCAGTACTGCCAGAAACAAACTTCAGAAATGTTTAATTTGGGAGAAAACTGTAAATACTAGTATTGTTATACACACACAAACATGTACATTATTTAAAAATCCCATTTCTAAAAAGAGATGACCCTAAAGGCATAGTATAACTGAAATAACTCATGATTATTATCAAGTCCAGCAGAAAGTCATGTGTGAAAACCTCAGGGGAGTCTGTATGACATTGGCTCAAAGGCTAATATATTTCCTTAAAATATTTTCCTAGAATTGATTCTAGTATTGCATAGTAATACAAATATTATCCATGGGTTAAAAGGGTCCCTCACTGTGTATTTCTTCCCTTTTCCATATCCTTTCATATTAAAGAACAAAAGATTTTGAGATTTGAGAAGTTATTTTGATTTTCTTAAAAGGCTCTAAAATAGGACATATTTTCCTTCCCTTTCTACCAGAAAGATTACACAGAAATCTAATAGAGATTACTTAGAAATAATAGAGGGAAAAAGCTGGTTTTCTCTCAGACAAAACTTGATAAAACAAAATATACTAAAGTACATCTCTCTTTGATTTTTTTATTGGGAAAAAGTCAGAATATTAAATTTGAAAACCTTGAACAGTTTTGCTTTCTTCCCTACCTATCTTTCAAATGCATTTAGTTTGCTTCTGTGCAAACAAAGTATTTTTTCCAATACTTTGTTTTGCTGAAGGACAACAACACACAAAAACTTTCTTCTCTCTTTCTTTAACTCTCTTTTTCTTTCTTTAACTTCATAGACTAGGTTTTCCTTTCTCTGAGATGTGTTTTTCATTGTTCCAGTGACAATTCTGTTTTCCTGGTGAAACCATCACCATGCTTACTAGGTAGTAGACATTCTTCTCCATGCCAGTGCTGTGGGCCCACACAGCATTTGTGTAGCATTTATACTTCCTCTATATAATTTTTAAGCT